GAGGGTCCTGGGTTTGATTGTGGTCAAGGCCACATGTCTTGGTTGCAGGCTCTATCCCCAGCCCTGGGGGAGGCAACCAATAAGGTGTGTCTCTCTCACATCCATGTTTCTCTGTCTCTCCCCCTCCCTTCCACTCTCTCTAAAAATAGAAAAAATATCCTCGGTGAGGAAAAATAAAATAATAAAATAAAATAGCACTCTGGAGGCCCGTCCCTCTTCCCAGCTGCCTCCCCTGCCCCAGGACAGTCTACAGTCCGCTGTGCTGTGCCTTCTTCCTTCTCACTTCTATGTGTAGTTGTAGGACAGACATTATTAGAGGTTTTCCTGATTGTTAAAAACATGCTGCGTGTTAAATTTTTTTTTAAAGAAAATGGAAATGGAAAGAATGTGAAAGTTCCTACGGAGTTTCACGACCCAGGGAGAAGCATTGTCAACTGCTGGCACGTGTCCTACCAAACTTTGCCTGCAATCATGCTAAACTGCTCATAAAGAGGCAAGCACAAAGAGAAAGGAGGAGGAGAAGAAATGCACAGATAAATAATTGTCGTTAGTATCAAAGGGCCCTCTCTTCTTTGTTGCAATCTGGTTTTTCCATCTGATGTTCTAATATCCTCGGTGAGGAAAAATTAAATAATAAAATACAATAGCACTCTGGAGGCCCTGCCCTCTTCCCAGCTGCCTCCCCTGCCCCAGGACAGTGCACAGCCCGCTGTGCTGTGCCTTCTTCCTTCTCACTTCTGTGTGTAGTGTGTAGGACAGACATTATTAGAGGTTTTCCTGATTGTTAAAACATGCTGCGTGTTAAATTTTTTAAAAATAAAATGGAAATGTAAATAATGTGAAAGTTCCTACGGAGTTTCACGACCCAGGGAGAAGCATTGTCAACTGCTGGCACGTGTCCTACCAAACTTTGCCTGCAATCATGCTAAACTGCTCATAAAGAGGTAAGCACAAAGAGAAAGGAGAAGAAATGCACAGATAAATAATTGTCGTTAGTATCAAAGGGCCCTCTCTTCTTTGTTGCAATCTGGTTTTTCCATCTGATGTTCTACCCTGGCCAGGCCTCTCCTTCCAGGCCTTTTCAACCCCTCCCAGGGCATCCTGTTGGCGCTGGGGGCCGCTGCTCAGGCCAAGGCTCTGGCACTCCGCACCCCAACCCCTGTATCCATCCCAGGGTGTCTGCAGGCCCCACTTGGAGTTGCACCTGGACCTGAAAGGGGCATCCCACCCACTTGGAGTGGGGCCTCTCCAGGAGTGGCTCGGAGAAGCCACTGGGCATTCAGAAGTCCACAGGGCAGCACAGGCCATGCCATGATAGCCTCCGCTTGCTATCGAGCCTACTATGTGCCCACACTTCTGGGGGCTCCCGGGCTGTCTCCCAACTTCCTCTTGCCTCCTCTTCCCTACACCAGACCTCTAGAACTGTTCTACTCCTCTCCAAACTTACTTTCAAGATAGAATATGAGTCATTGGCAACCTGGAGTACAAATGACAACTACAAGGCCCACACAACTGCCCTTTCCAAGTGGCTCTAATTATATAAGATATGCCAGATGGAGCAATGTACATGTATGCTGATGGTAGAACATTTTCAATGCTTATCTTTGACTCTCTGTTTAGGATAAATTAAAAGAAGTAGAATTAGTGAATCAAAGATCTGTCCATTGGGTAGCCCCAATTCACTCTCCCACCTGCCAAGATGACAATGACCACTCGCCAACATTAAGTATTAATCATGTCTTGGTTGATTGACAAAAATCAGCATCTCATTTTAATTCACATTTGTTTGGTTTTGAGTAAGGCTGCCCATTTAAAAATTTTTCTCAGAAAAAATGGCATCTGATATGCTGCTTTCCCTTTCTCAAGGGAGAAATAAGTTATTTTCCTTAATTTTTTTCATATAAGAGCTTGACTCAAAGAAGCGTTGGGAGACAAAATGGGGTTCTTGAGTTGGCCAACATATACCAGGTGATTGATCTGGTTATGGCCTTTAAACAAAAGTTCCAGTACACACAAAATCCCCAAGGGTGCATTTTTACTTTGGAAATGGCATGTGTGTGGTAACTTAGAAAAACTCTGTGGTTTCAGATTTAGTGGAGTGAGGTAATTTTTCTCAGGAAAGTGTGGGAGGGGCAGCCATCTGTGTGTCTCTTGTAGTTGGCCCAGAGCCTGACACATTGTAGGTACCCATAGATGCCCACAGATTGAGTAATTAAACTGTGCTGCCTCAGTCCCGAGAGACAACCCTCTGTAACCCCAAATGAACTCTCTATACAAAAAACATTTTGCACCTGTGGATGAAAGGGGGGGAGGTGCTGTAATAAATCATAAATTCCTAATTGGGAAGTCACTGGAAAGGCATAACCACTGTAAAGAAAGCACATAATCATCTAATCCTTGCTCTCTCCCACCCTCATGGAATCTTCCTTATGTTCCCTCATTAATTTCAAATGCATAAAAGAAGTTGCAAAACCATTATTCTCTGGAGCATTTCAGATTTTGTTCCCTGGCATATGTCGTCAGTTTTGCGTCAAATAAACTCATAAAAATTCTCTACAGATTTGTACATTTTCATGTTGATACACCCACTTATTTATAATCCCTTACAGTTATTTTAAATTTGTTCTTATTGATTTCAGAGAGGAAGGGAGAGGGAGAGCGAGAAAGAAACATCAATGATGAGAGAGAATCATTGATTGGCAGCCTCCTGCACACCCCACACTGGGGATCCAGCTCACAACCCGGGCATGTGCCCTGACGGATAATTGAAGCGTGACCTCCTGGTTCATAGGTTGATGCTCAACCATTGAGCTATGCCAGCCGGGCTCTTACAGTTATTTTTTTTTTTATCAGTATCTACTTTTTAATATGAGGAAATGGAAGCATAGGACCCACTGGAGAGTTGGGATACAGAGCAAATTCAGGTCCAGCGAAACATGAAGGCGTGATCGTTAAGAGAAGCTGTGGCTGCATGTTCGCTGGATGTGGATCCCTTCTCTGAAGTGCCTTGATCTCCGCTGAGTAGGTGCCTTGAGAAGCCCACGGCTCCTGATCATTCACCAGTGAACCCTGTGATTTATAGCATTGTTCTTGAAGCAGAAGTCCAAACAAGTGATTCTCACAATTGAACCTGCATCAGAATTACCAGGAGGGAGAGAGCCAGTTATTTTTACTTTGAGTCTGAAACAGCCCTCTCTTGAGATCTAGGAAGATGTTGGAAATTCTTACTTACTGGTAGTACTTCCAGAAAGGGCTAAGGGTGAGTGGCGGTATAGATATCATACGAGGGGCAAGTCTGATGGCAGGCACATCCTTGGGTCTGGGTCTGGGTGGGCCAGCATGTCTTCCTTACGGAAGATCGCATTCTCAAGGTTCTCAGTGGACTTTTCTGGTTTCAGGGAGGGTTGCATTTGACTTACCAGTTAGTAGAAGAGTTTTTCTTTCTTTCTTTCTTTCTTCCTTTCTTTCTTTCTTTCTTTCTTTCTTTCTTTCTTTCTTTCTTTCTTGTTGTTCTGTTAATCCTCACCTGAGGATATTTTCCCATTGTGATTTTTAGAAAGTTGAAGGGATGGGGAGAAACACACAGAGAGAAACATCAATGTGAGAGAGACACATCCATCGATTGGTTGCCTCCCACAGGGGCCCCCCCCACCAGGGATGGGGATTGAGCCTGCAACCACCGAGGTATGTTCCCATGACCAGAATCGAACCTGGGCCCCTTTAGTCAGAGGGCCAAGGCTCTATCCACTGGCCCAAACCAGCTAGGGCATGTAGAGGCGTTCTATTAAAGTTTATAAGGAAGAAGGTGAAACCTGCAACCACACAATGGAAAGGACTGAAGGAATGACTATCTGATGTCCTGGTTCTCAGCTTTTCTCAGCCTAGCAACCACCAACCATTTGTGGGAACTGTAGGTGGTCAGGCCAATGTAATTGTCAGTTCAAGGCCCAGGGGTCAGTGGGGAGTCAATGAAGACTTGGGGACAATAATCTGAGTTCTAGAGGAAGGATGGCTAAAGCCAAGTTAAAATTGGAATTGCGGAGACCAGATGAGAGGCTTGGAATAGGGTGGTAGAGTAGCTGGAGGCAAATGTTTGGATTGGAGAAATAAATATGTAGGAAATAAAATTAACAGTATTAGGATAACTGAGAGGGGCGGGGGTGGAGGGAGGAGTGGAGATGACTCCCAGGCTTCTGGCTTGGGTCTTCGGGCAGATGATGGGGCCATTTCTGGGCTAGGGGAGGAGGGAAAGAGCTGGTTTGGCAGGAAGGTGAGTTTGGGGCCAGTTGTGTTTGAGGCACAAAGAGGCCTCCCGCAATGGGTGTCCAGGTGGTGCTCGGGCGAGGGCTCTGGACTGGCCCGCACAGAAATGGAGAGGAAGCCGTAGGGTATCCCTAACAACAGTAAGGAATCGGAAAGGTTCCCGGTTTGGGGTGTGCATAGTCGGGAGGTCACGTATGGGGGCGCTCAGCCAAACGACTGAATGGACCCAATGACCTGCTCTCAACCCACTTTGGATGTGAGCCGGGCTGGGCGAGTGGGGCGGAACCGGATCCTCTAGGCCCGCCCCTCTGCCCGCCCCCTCGCCCTCCTCAGCCATTGGGCAATTCCACTGTCCGTTAAGGGTCCGCCTCCTCAGGTGAACCAATAAGGGCAGGCGAGAGGAAGCTTCCTTCTGGAGTTGCACCAGCGGC